ATCCCTGTTGTTCTTGCCAACTGGGTGAATTACAGCGCCTATACCACAACTTGGCGTTACGATGAAGCGACATACACTGGGCCCATTTCAAACTCTACCGAATTTCACTGCAGCATCGAAAATCAAAAATAACATTATTAATAATAAATCGGAAATCACAACTTCACTCACACGTCCCATCAAATTATTGCAAATTCGCTGCGTACTTCCTGCTATTCTGGTTTGTATCTATGTTGGTTTTCCGCGATAACAACCAATTCGACATTGTGTACGCGTATACAAGTTTTTTTTTTTTTCAATTAACAGGCACTCTAACGACGCACTATGTTGTATAATGCCTCTTATACTTGGGTTATTCGTTCGAAATAACAACAATTATGATTGTTGAGTTTTACCGTCCCAAAACAAACCACCATATGGTTACGAGAGACATGTCTCTGGTGAGACGTGTACCTAAATATAAGTAAACAGGCCTAGAGCCCTTTCGCCTCCACGTGAAATACAGCCACCACTGAAGGGATTCGATGCCGCGACCTTCCAATCAGCAGTGCTCGTTTGAACTCATCTAGACGCGTCGAGGTCGCGAACTGGCACTCGCAGAGTTCCGCGAACGTCGATTTACATAAGCGCGCGCGGGCGTACAATGACCCCGCGACCGGTCATGAGCTTTTTTTACATTCGCTATAAATCGACCGCAAAATGACTGGCTGGTCTCGTCTTAACCTGACCAACGGGCGCACACAACCGCTCCCCCCTTCCCGAATAAAAACGAAAATGATAAATAAGCAACTAGCCAGAACAGCTTTTTCCTAGAACGGGGGAACTTTCCATTACGTCGTGAATATCGTGGACGAAATATATATAGACACACACTGGATTGGAAAGGAAGAATCGATCATGAATACCAATACGGGACCTGGCATCGATCCTGCGAGCTACGCATATAACCATGCGGGAGAAAAACAACGTAATAGAAAAAAACAGGCAAATCGAAACGCGCTCGGTGCTGTGCAAAGAAAAACAATCGATGAACTGACCTATACTAAACCGCATAAATTAGCGATCGTTCCTCGCACGTCAACGCTTACGAGTTCGAAGCAGAAATGGTGCGACTGGCACTATTCATACAAAAATCACCTCTCGCATTAAAAAAAAAAAGTGGGAAGGCGAGAGAGAGGGACAATTGCAAGAACAGGAAAGCAACGAAAACAGTGTTGCCGGGGTACGGAATACGCGAAAGCGTAAAAAAAAAAACGCAAACATCGCCACAAAAATCGTTCTAACAAGCAGGAGGAGGGCATCGACCATTTGGTTGTAATACATGAATAATTAGTGTTGCCAATTTCGAAACCATAGGAAACTTTCTGCTTCTCGTACAAGTGCTCCAAAAGTAAAACGGAGCACGCGAGCTGTGGCCAAGCTAGACTGTGACAGAGAATGCCAGCCCCCCCCCCCCCCATCTGATGAGTGGTTCTTTTTTTATTTTATTTCAAGTTCTCTTATTACATGAAAATACACAACACTGGTTAGACCCATAGCCACTGGCTAGTAGGGGGTCTAAATAAATATGCATTTAAAGGAACAGATTGTGTTAACAAAGCAGATATTTTATAAGTACACTTCAAAGCAGATATTTTATAAGTACACTTCAATCATACAAGAAAAAAAAGAAAAAAATCGAAACAAAATATAAGAAGGAAACATATTTGTGATAAGTCATTTGCAGTATCTTGCAGCATTGCATTATTTTTCCATGTGCGAGAACATAGTGCCATTACTTAAGTATAAAAACAAAGAACCACTTCTCTGATGGAGTATTCACACGCGTGCTCCGTTCTACTTTTGGAGCACCTGCACGTGAGTCGATCGGCCGAAGCACTCAGCGGTGCACTGCAACTTTTGCATAATTGAAGATAAGCCAAACAACCAAAACGAGCGCGGTCGCAGTAAAAATCATATTACGCTTCTCTGTTGTCTTAAACGGAACACGCACAAAAGCACGAGAGAGAGAAGTAAACGTTTATTTTCGAAACAGTGCCCCGAGCAATGCCCGGTGTCACCCTGAGGTGGGAAGGCTCCTTAGTCCAGGAACCCTCTACAAAAGCAGGAAAATAACGAAAATATACCGAAAATTTTGGAGTATCAATATGAAGCGCATGATGCGCGTTGACCTAGCGTAGCACCCTACTTGCTCTACGATTTCGAAATTTATCATTCGCCGATATTGCGGGCGTTCAAGCAGGAAATTTCGTTGTTTTGCGCACTCTTCACTTAATTGCGATTGCAAATAAGAATTTTGAAGTTTGACAAGCTCCCTCGGCAGAACGTCAAATTTCCGGCATTTTTTCTCGCACCAATAGCGAGAAAACATCTCGGGAAATTGCTTTTGTCAAGCACAATCTCTGACGGAAAACAACGAAGTTTAAGGACTAGGGTTTGTTTAATAAGCAACAAAATAGACCAGAATTAAACCTAATATTCTCCGATATCTAAAGTCCCAAAAAATGGTTTAAAAACAACAGTGTTGTGAACCACGCCGGAGTTTCGGTCATAAGACTCGTAAAACTATAAGTCGGCCAGTGCGTTTCGCCCCACCTGCTACCAAATGCAATTTTTCAATTTTTATGGCGCAACATTCCAGCATTACTGACAAGTGCTTACCCCCGAAGGGACGAGTTTTTTTTTTTTATGTGCAGTGGAAATCATTTGAAAATGGCCCCAAACGCGCCTGATCCTGTGGCTGCACCACGGCTACTCGACCTTTAGATGGCGTTTTCTCCGAACACTATCATTCGTCAGAAAAAGAAAAAAAAAACACTTCCTCTGTAACCACTGAAGCTATCAAATGCAAACTTTTGCCCCGCCGCGGTGGTCTAGTGGCTAAGGTACTCGGCTGCTGACCCGCAGGGCGCGGGTTCGAATCCCGGCTGCGGCGACTGCATTTCCGATGGAGGCGGAAATGTTGTAGGCCCGTGTGCTCAGATTTGGGTGCACGTTAAAGAACCCCAGGTGGTCGAAATTTCCGGAGCCCTCCACTACGGCGTCTCTCATAATCATTGCATGGTGGTTTTGGGACGTTAAACCCCACATATCAATCAATTAATCAATCAAATGCAAACTTTTGTGACTTCTTTCTGAATAGAATGAGCACTTTCTGAAGCGAAAGAATGTTGTTGCCACCAGGATTGTATTTTTTACAAATGTTTTTCTTTAAGAAAGGAGCCCTAAAACTCTAGTCACAAAACGTTTATACATTTAGCTAAAGAATGATCATACCTACAATCATTATTTTGGTTCAGAAGGATACCCTGGACACATGTAATGACCAGAAGAGAGGTCATTTTACTATCAAAATCTTTTTCACAAATGTTCGTTAAAATATACAAAGTCGAATAATTTATTTTTTATTATTTTTTAGGGCTGCTGTGTGTTTTTCTTGCCAAATTCACAAAACATACAGTAGAATCCCCATTCAAACAACTTGCAAAATTTTATGAAGTTTGCTTTAAAAATAATAGAGCGATGGGCTATACCAGTTACACTACTGTGTGTGCTATCCATCCCCCCTTTGAACGGCCAGTGGTACTTATATGTGACGCCGACTGCGTCAAGAACAAGGCGAAGAAGCACCGGTTCCAGTCAATAAAATCAATCGCTCGCGACGACCCTTCTGCGCACCGGCGGATACAACAACCGACCGTCGCCAGCGTGCATCGCCTCTATCAGCTGTACGCCACAAAAGGGGGCGGATTCGGTCACGCCTCGTTCAAACAACACGGCGTCAAAGAAGCGGCTATCAATTCTCTTATCTGCCAACCAAGCCGTTCGTTGCGACCAGCCTAAACAGCGGAACCAAGCGAGCGCCTTCCGTCGATCAACGAGGTCACCCAGCAAGGAATTTAATAATTATGTAAATCACTACGATGCTTACAAAGATGTATCGTAGTGCGAGTTTCAGAAAGCGATGTAATGGGATAATTTTTTGATGGGCTAGTTGGTTCATAATGCTAAAGTGCAACGCGCAAGGTCAGTGCGCGACATTGAACACACACACACACACACGATTGATATGTGGGGTTTAACGTCCCAAAAGCACCATATGATTATAAGAGACGCCGTAGTGGAGGGCTCCGGAAATTTAGACCACCTGGGGTTCTTTAACGTGCCCACAAATATGGGCACAGGGACCTACAGCAGTTTCACCTGCATCGAAAATGCAGCTACTGCGGCCGGGTTTCGATCGCGCGACCTGCGGGTCAGCAGCCGAGTACCTTAGCCACTAACCACCACGGCGGGGAGAACACACACACAGGACAAGCGCTAAACCTGTGCTCCGGATTAACGCTTATCCTGTGCGGTGCGTCTTCTACTATAGCGAGTGATTTTGCTCTCGGCAGTTTAGCGTTTCGCGATGTAACAAGTTTCTCCTGTCGAAAGTAACCGCATTTCATTACGGCGACCGGCTCAACCCTGGGAGTTGCAGTTGCCGAGCGCTAACTTATGAAAGTGTTCCGCGTTCTGATCGGCTCAAATTAGCTCTAGTTACATATCGTGCTTCAGTCTTACATACATTACAATCCGTTCAGAACTGGCGGTACAAACGTGTTTTTTCTAAATTTCGGAAACATTAAAAAAAAAAAAAGCACAGCCACGCCGCTGGAAACGACCACGCATTATGCACCAGAACGGGGCCAGTAAAATATTAGACAGCAGAAAACGCAAGGATAAATTGATACTGACAAGCAGATAAATCGAGTAACTAAGTTCTATTACACCATCCCCCATTCTGGAACAGGCCGTAATGACAACGCGACAAGACTCCAACACAGCGCTGGGCAAACGTCTCTCAGAAATCTCCACAAAACGTGTCCAAGGCAAGGCAAGCCGGGGTTTGAATGCGTAGTAAGGGCATCCCGAAAACGAAAGTTGTAAGAAGAAACTGTCTCCGCCGCAAAGTGAGACGACGACCGGATTTGTTTAAAACGACTCAGCTGACTCACCTGTTCGCTGCCGGCGAAGTGCTCGCGCCCCAGCTGTCTCAACTTGTCCGAGGTAATGTATCCACATCGCTCTTCGTCGCACAGATCAAACACCTGACGCAGTTGGTCGAGTATCGCTTCGTCAGCCATCACAAGCACGCATCACACAGAAGCACACACACGTTACCGACGCTCACACGGGACTGTCATCAAACCGTCGTCACCGGCACGAACGGGCGAATCGGCGGCGCGACTGCGGCACGTCCGACGCGCGGAACCAGGCCGGCG